GTTATTATGACGTCATTCCTGCTGCTCAGTTATGCTCTGTCTAGCTACTGCCTCAGAGAAAAGGTGATCGCTCTGACGTGCGACCTCCCCACCCACAGCAACTCTAACTTCTTTACACAACTTCCTCTCTATGCCCCAAAACTGTATTTCTGAATTGTCAGTATCAGTAACTCCATTTGATAAAAAGGTTCCTAATGTTTAAAGCCCAAATTAAGCCCCAAAGTGCTAACGTGATAACACATCTAAAAGGAGATTATTTTGGGGGTGTTTCAATTGCCGAAAAAAAGGGAAATTTTCTATTCCTCGCATATTAAAAAGATTACTTTGGCCTGCAACGTTGTTCAGCCGTTGGAATTAAGAAATAGATATAAATGAATATAAAATTATGGGTCAGCAAATATAGAGCTTTACCCGTACTCTTAACTGGCTCAGAAAATTTCTTTTCGGTATAATTCTGCATGCATATCCCCCATGATTTTAATTTAGTAACGTTAATGCCTATTACTGTACAACTCTTGCAACACAACGTGTTATGTAAGTGGTACAGATTATGATGATGTTACTATTTGCTAGCGTAAAAATATTTAACAAGCAGAACTCTACGATAATTTGTTCATGTTGGCTAAAATTAAATACTGAAACCAACTTTTGAGATATACATTTTTACCTGACAGGATGCAAACCATGGAAATGGTCATTTGGGCTGAAATGTTTTACAAAACTTTACATTCTAATTTGCTTCATACATCGTCTACAACTGAAAGGGTCAACATTTAGAATCCGTATTTAAGTCAATGCTAATATCAATAAACTTCAGTTTAAATTAATGCAAAGGATATACTCTAATGGAAAAGAAATTACTCACTTTACTAACTACTTGTAAAGTCTAAAAGTCTGGAAGGGTTTCAAGATGTTGTTCAATATTGTATGTGCAAAACCGCGTTTAGTGTCTTCAAAGGACTCTAAGTGGCCAGGCATCTCTCATACCATCCCGCCTATCTGCATACATTAAAGACATTAGGTCTGTGGTTTCCATTAAGCCCTGTGGTGACAACTGCTGGGAAACTGTCACTCTTGAGCTTTCAAACAACTGGTCTGGATATGTGAAATTTGCAGAACTGGAAGCAATAGCTGGAAGGCATCCTGAATATAAGTGGTACTGTTGCAACCCTAATGGAGAGAGAAAACACGTGGTTCATCAGTACAGCTACCATGTATTTCAGGAATTACATAGTACTTTTTAAATAAACTTTTTTTTTTTAACATCCGCATCATGCTATATTAACATACGCATTCATACATGATTTTAGAATCTGTAGATAACAAAAATGATAAATTACAACAGTTTAGAGCTAACAAGGATAGCCTGAATCACTATATAAAAATCTGATTTCCCCTCAGTTTGAACGCTTGGACAGTTTTGTTTTTAATGTGAGTAGAATAAAATGCCACAGTGTTCAGAAGTAGATTTGACTTTTTAAATACAAACCAGCTAGTCTTTTCATCAACAGAACTAATTTTGAATTTGCTGTAGGTGGAAGAAGTGTCACTGAAATTAACAGTTTGAATTATTATAATGGTTTTAACACATAGGACTATTTTTGGAATTTCTAATCCTGAACGGTATAGCAGCTTGTAATTCTCCATGAACCTAGGCTGTACTAACACATATTTGTATACAAATAGGGGATTTAAGAAGTACAAAACATTGTATTCCACAATTCTGGACATTCACAGATTTTGCAGTCCCTGGCGCACAGAAAGATATGTCAGCTGCAACAGCAAATTTACCCTATAACAAAAGAAACTGTATAGTAATCTTTACTACAGCTCTATTCAACTTCCCATGATTTTCCTAAAGGTATTGTTAATTCAGTGAAAAATTGCTTATTGTAAAACAATCTTTTCCTCATTTTTAAGGGAACACAGCTATTAGATACACAATGACAATTTGTAGTCACTACTATAGGTTTATTTATGTTTAAAGCGAAGTGTGATCTAATTAGCAGAGTTAAAGGAATTCGTGCTGCAGATAGTACACATTTTAGTACTTTCTGAGAATATTACTCCCTCTTGACCTCTTCTCTTCTTGGTAAAACTGAGACACATTTTACTCACTGTGCTTTTCTGATGAAAAATAGCTCATAGGGTCTAACAGAAGAGGTCACTCATAGATCACGGTGTCCAATAAAAGAAATCACTCGTGGACATTTTGGTGATGTCTGACACATGGTTATCCATGTGCTGACCAAGCCTGCCGCTAGACTGTGAATCTTTGTAGAAATCTAAATGGCCATGGATGGGAAACACTTTAGCATACCTGCAGCTCCAATGTTAAAGAAAAGAGAAGTCTGAAACTATCTATGAATCAGAAATACCCTGCAATATTTGAAGGAGGTAATGGAACAGTAAGAATAGACTTATCCCAGGCAACCTGTGAATAGGTTAGAAAAGGGCTAAACAGCACATTGCAAATTGTCTGCTGTGCTCTGACCAATACAGCAGCAGAATTGAAGAGCTGGCCAGTCTCACTTCAGTCATACAGTTCTTAAGAACCCTCCGTAAATGCAGTATTACTACTACAGTATTTGCGGGAGAAGCTGAACACAAAACCGAGAGGTTTATGACGTGGCACTGAACAGCCAGAATGATATTGTCATTACTTTTTATATGGTTCTTTCTTCCGACATAAATGCGACTGTTTCATTTCAACATCATTTTACTAGAACACTTCCTAATGTGAAAAAGTGAAGGCTTACCTCTAATAGCACACTGTTGATGATGGGGTTAAGAACCTCTGCCTTCATACTGCTCTGTAAACCAGACAATAGAATGAAATGCCAGGACAAGAAATACATTTAACAGAAATATACTGACCTCTGAAAAGTGGTTTTATGAATTCTATAAAGGTGTTGCTTCACCTTGATTCTTATTCATGCTGTTTATTACAGTATCCTGATAACTGTGTCTACATTTCACACACACTTCAGTAGACCCTACGTATTTCTGTCACTGAGTACAATGAACTAAGATGGGCCCACGGTTTTACTTTTTTATCCATTTATGTACTGCAGAGTTTCAAATTGCCTGGTTTCATATGGATGTGAGATTTATGTGATGACATTGTCTGTCCATCTGTCTGTCGGTGCCCTTTTCATCTCCCCCAAATTTTTTTAACCCCTTGCTCATTTTCAAGGAGACAAGAAGGAAAAATACAGGTCAGAAGGAAAATGAAGTTCTTAAAAGTTTCACAGATATCTGTGGTTAGGAGGAAATGAAAGGCCCAGATCAGCTCCCCTGCAGAAGGGAAAACAGGAGAAACTCAGATCCCCAAACTGGAGGCAGTATTTGTTGAGCTGGACAATGCAGGCTGGCCAGTAAACGTAGCTCAGCATGCATAGCATTCTTCTCAACCAGCAGATAGGAATAAAGATGGGTACAATGAGTAGTGACACTACTAGAGGCTAGAAAACCAAGATTTGTTAGCTCCTCTGCTTTTTAAAACGGCAAAAGTTCTTTCCTTTTTTTTATTCTCACTGTTCTTTGCATTGTATTTTTTAGAATGGCAGTAACCTCCAGCAAGAGTTGCTTTCTTTCACTACCAAACGGTGGACTTTTATTAGAACAAAGGAAACACAATACTGATTAATTTAACTGAAGGGCTTCCACTTACAAGCTTGTAGCTTTCTTACTACAGATTTAAAGAAACATGAAACACCTTAATTTTAGTTTGGAGAAAGATGGCAGAACAAAGCGAAGATGGTTAGAGAAAAGAAGAGCAATTTTACTGTCAGTTACTAGAAAATCCATTACGCAGTGCACCGTTTAGTTGATTGTCAATAAACTGAAACAGATAGAGAGCAGTATCAATTAAATACTATTGATTGTATGAATCAATAAGTTAAAGTTTGAAAGAAATCTTGCGTAGCAAGCAAAGCTGTTATTTCTTACTTCTGCATTACTGCTCACTCGGAAACATCGCCAACACTATAGACTATGTGTACAGCCAGCACTACAACTAGTGTCTGAATTATACAGATATAACTATGGGGATGGCATAAGTTTGTAAAAAAACAGTATTTCCTGTTCTAAGCCATTTCTCAGTTTTCCATGAGTTAATGCACTTTGCAGGGTACTGGAATGTGTTTGTGAACCCGGGTGCTGTCAGCAGGCTAAGGAGGAAGTTGAACCACTGGGACGTGCAGGAAGATGTAGATTTTCTCCAGTCCTGTGCGACAGGTGCTCCTTACTTTCCTGCTCATCACGGTGAGCAGAAGGCCCACATCTTCCTCCAAAAGCTTACAGGGATGGGGCAGCACATAAAGATCACCAGACTGCCCTACTAAAACTCTCTTCTAGAGAGTATGTGTCCACACAAATGACACAAAAACAATCTGGTCCTAAAAACTGAGTACGGAGTTGATAAGAACAAAACCTAGTGCAATGCTTATGAAAGCTTTAGTTTCCAATTTTCTGAGCTGCACCAGCTTAATATTTCATGTGCAATTTATTTTTATATGTCTGTGCATGTATTTATTGCAAGTGTCACACAAAGCTATGCTAAAATACAATCCCAAAATGCAAAATAAGCAGTTTCTCCCAGGGTAACGGGAAGGTATGTAAATTATTCAGAATAAAAGCAGCCCAATAAATCATGTTCTCTACAAATAAGACTGAAATAACTTGCTCAGAGATGTGCTGGAAGAGCTCATGGGAGAACTGGGAAAATTTCCTTTGATGTTCATGGAGTAATCAGGAGAGCCTAAGTTTGTTCTTCTCTGACGTTTACAGAACAATTTCAGCAACAGCACAATTTTTGCCTCTGGATCCTACTAGAATACTCAGATGTCAGTCATCTTTGAAACATCCTGAAAGGCAGGATACTATTTCTAGCAAAGATGTTCACAGATAAATGGATGTTCCTAAATGGAATATCTTGAGATACAAGACAGAGTGATTTTTTTTAAGATGGATGACCAAACAGATTTTCTAATCTCTTAAACCTTTTGAAAACACAGCGGCCCTAGGCCAGGGGATTTAGCAAAGGCTAAGAAGACAGCTTGTGAAACCATCTTAAGGTACTGGAAGTATTATCTGTTAATGGCTTCTACACAAATGCATTCAAAAGGGATAGGCTGCGTAGAAGAAAATATCTTCAGGTTAAGGGACTTCAAATGTGGGACCCTTTCAGTACAAGAAGATAAGAAGTGCTGAGTGGTGATCAGGCAAAATGGGAAATAGTGTCCAGAAAGAGACATTTCAGAAGGCAGGGGACACACTGCAGTCTACCAAGTATTATAAACTTTCTCTGCAACAGGGAATCGGCTGTAAAAATGCTCTGTGTTCTTGATCTGAGGAAAGAAGTGCGCTCCTTGCTGGTGCCTCATGTAAAGCCACCGGACGTCGGTAATAATTCCTCTTTCAAGAAGTGAACTATGTTAAAAAAAGCCCAAATGCTACAGAAAATGCTGTTATCTTACCCCAGCTGCTGTTAAAGAATCGGAAAACTTCTTTGATAAAGACGAAACTTCATTGCACATGGCACTTGTTAAACTGGTTTAAAAAAAAGAGAGACAAATATAAAAATACACCCTCGTCCTGTCAACGGATAAAAACCCTATGACTGTTCCTGGCACAAACTTCATCTTAGAAGCCAGGAAATGTTCTTAAGGTAATTTTGCTTCTAGTAACTTTTTAAATATTTTGGGGTAACTTTGTCATTATACAGTTTTTATATTCCTCCACTGAAAAATCCATTGCTGACTACAGCAGCAAAATGATGTCATGTTGGCTCAAACACTAGTCTTTTTTGATAGGGCAAGGTTTCAATTTTTTAAATTCTAAACTTCTAGTTAACTATTGTCTTTCTGATGATTGCAGCAACACAACTCCTACAAATACTGTTGGAAATAAATCAAACTTTAATGAGAACAGTGAGAAATTTCCTATCTAAGCAATAATACATCTACTCTGTAATAAAAGAGGAAGTACCCTTGTGGTTAAAATGCAAGAGAACAAGATCTATTCCTAGATCTTTCACTGTTTTGCTAAACATTCACAAGTGCATCATACAGAACCTCATCCTGCAAGGTGCACCATACCTTAGCTCTAATTCTGAAAAATACTTGTTCAAATACTTTGTTTTAGACTGAAGTGTTCCTGTGGACTTTGCTATTGTTACTAGCATTCCTAAAGATAAACACTTGCTTAAGTACTTTACTTACTTAAGACTCAAGTGCTTACAACATCTTGACATTAAAACCCACTGAAATCAGTAGAATCGATTACTACAGACAGCTTGAGATCTGAATTTTGAGTCCTACTAGATAAACTGGCTTCTTGAATTTATCTATGTTTTGTTGTGGTTTACTACAAAGTTGCCGACAAATGTGGTCTTATCATTTAGAACTACAGATTGATTTTTGTATATTTTTGGCAGATAAACACTAGATAATGAAACTGTATCGGCAGATAATAAGTCTGCATTATGCATGCTAAAAGCAAATTCTATATATGCTAGCACAGTATCTTTTGCAGTGGGAACAGGAAACACGACCCAAATTAGCATGCACATTCACTTGCTGCAGCAGAAACAACTTTCAGCCTGTGAACAGGTCGTGCTTTTGTAAACATACATACGTTAGCCATGTCAAGAAATGACAGGTAGCCTAGGTAACTTGATTACATGAGAAAATATAGCACCAGGACCCCTAAAGCCAATGCTGTTTGTTGATCCATGAACTTACTGTGCCTTTAAGTGCCAAACGCTGAACGGAACTTCAGTTTTAAGCAAATGTCAAATGTTCATATATGAAGTACATAATACTCACTTTGTCAGTACTTCTGCTTGATCTTGAGCTGTTTTTTCTACTTCCTGCCCATGTAGAATTAATTCTGCTACTTTATGAAGCTGTTCAATACAACGAGCAGTTACCTCAGCCAGACTTTCAATGGACAGCATGTAGATTTCCTTAAATTAAAAACAGGGACTAATATAATCAATAATAACAACACTGATAAATATATGTATAGATATATACATATAAAATAATTTGAAACATAGGAGCCCTCCCTGCCCCAACTGGAAATACCACCACATACATAGTGAAGTAATATCAGCCATAATGTCATCCTCACAAACAATACTGGAAAATGAAATATGCACAGATTATAAAATATAGACCTTATTAAGAACAAGTCTACCATTTATTTGGATGGGAACTAGGTCAGGCTCTCAGATTTTCCAACATACCACTTTTAAACCTAGTCCTAATGAATACAAAGATCCCTTAACTCTAGAATAAGTCATAATTACTTTCATATGGAGCCAAAAGTATTGAGTCATCCCTCAGATGAATCTCCAGAGTAGAAATGGATAATACTCCCAATTAAAAAGTGGCTTTTATCAGCAATGATACAAAATTCTACCTAGCACTATGGTGTTACAGCTTTCACAAGCTGATGCCAGCTGGAAATCTGCAATCGCATAAAAATCTGTAATATATACAGTGAAACTCTGTCTCCTTCTTTGGACCTTTTTTGTAAGGAAACATGACAGATAATTTTTTTATTAGAATTCATTCAAAAAATCTTGACAAAGATACCAACCACATTTAATATTGCTATAACTTGGCATAAAATATTCAATCACAAGTAACCTTATCAACAAGAGGCGTTGTCCAAATGGCCACAATACTTTTAGCCTTAAGTTCTATCTTTCATAAAGAGAATGGACACTTGTGAGTTACCTAAATATTATTTCTGTTTTGTCTGTTTGTGATTTAAACTGTTTAAGAGTTTAAATAAAGTTTGAGAATTTTTTCCATGTATTGTCACTGGGAGAAAGAGATGCCGAGGAATGTTGAGATATGACTTTCAATGTGCTGCTGACATTACACCACAGAATCCTTCAGCTCACTCTATGTTGTGTATACACATGCATACACACAAAAACATAGATATAAAAAAATAAAAACAATGCGATAGGCAGAGGACCTGCTACTTTGATACTTACTTATGGGAACAGACTAACAACAGTAAAAATATTTATGTAGGTTAGTTTCCTATTGGGTCTACAGTAAATAGTTATATATTAATATTTCTTAATACTTCCATGAGTTTAAAAAATAAGGACAACATATAAAACCAACACACAAAGGTAAAGAAGTAATCTTATCAAACAAAGTATGACAATTTGCTTAATGAAACTTATCCTCCAAAAGCTATTTTACCTCCACAGTTTTTTTTTTATCTACTTCTGTTTTATCACTGTCAATTTTATCTTCTTTTTCAGTCTTTTCTTCAGCAGGTTCTCCAGGTTTTTCTTTTAGCTTCTCTTCTATGTCTACTGGGGTGGAAAAACTGGCTTCTTCCAGCCATTCATGAGCTTTTTTCCTAGCCTGTCAAACAAAGAACGCAACCCCAAAGTTCAGTTCACATAGGGATTTCAAATGATGTTCCTGGACATTAATTAACAATACATTTAATTACTTCCTTTTTACATTCAGAAGTTTAAACATATCAAGCCTCTGCGTGGCACTTAGTTAAGTGTATATTTAAGAAACTGGAGGGAGAAGCATTTCTGACTGCATAAAGATAGATCAGCCAGGGATAATTCCTCTACAGGTATATTCCTAACCAACGCATAAAGTTGGCATTAATACCAAAGTTACTAATATTTCAGCTTTATGAGGTATCTTTCAAAGGAATTCACATAGAAATAATTTTCCCAAATAAGAAAAAAAGAAGGTGGTATAAAAAAAAGAAAAAAATATTGGAGAGGTAAGAGAGACGTACTAAATTCTTAAAGGAAAAATAAATAGAAAATCACTGTATCTCCAGCTGCCTTCTCAGGCATCAAAGTAGATCAAAGTGGAAAAGCCTTGAAGTTTTATACAACTTCAGACTACTGTTATGGTTAGTAGGAAATGTATGATGTCTCTTTTTCAACATGAAGTCAGATTAAAATATGTTAAGACCTAAGCCTAAGCTAGTTATCCATAGTCTATCTATGTAGCTCGAGAGATAAATATTCGTCTGAGCCTGAGATCAGCAGGTGAACCACCTTTAAAGGGGCCTGATAGTACAAATGTGACTAGAGATGTGACTCGCTTCTAGCCATCTAACTTTTAGATGATTGAAGCTAGATGAGATAAATCCAAGACTTCGTTTCTAGCTAAGAAGGTCTGGAGAAGTCCCTCAGGAAAATAAACATGATGAGCAAGAAAAATAATTCTGAACCCGACCTTTGTTCCCAGTATGTAAGACCAGACTCTGTTCTGCTGAGACATCCCTGGTTCAAGGCTTTCTAACATGACCCACTGGGCTAGCTAGTCATTGCAACTGTATTGCCTTACTAATCTCACTTCTTCTACAAAAGCTTTTCTACATTCATCATTTTAGTCCCACCCTCCTGTACTTTGCTTTCTGAACTGTCTGAACTGAGCTAGGTACTGCTTTCTGTCAGATTTCAGACCAAGCCCTCCCTCTTTGTCTTTGTCCAAGAAACAGGGGCAGCTCACTAGCAGGTGCTAACCTTATTAAGTTTGTCAGGAGTAGCAGCAACGTGCAATTCAAACAGCAGTTCAGTGAGCATGCTGACAAACTCTTCTCCCATATCTGCTGCAAGAAAAAACAAGACAATTTCTGTTAGGGTGTTATCACTAGAATTTTACATGATCAAATACATCCAGTCAGATAGTTTCCTCAAGCACTCTAGCACTTGAAAAACAGTGACAGTGATACAAGAAAGGGGTGTGTGGGGGTGTGCATGTATACGCTCAAACAAAGAAGAGAACAAGCAACAGAGAGACCTGTACAACCAGATATGCTAGCTTGACACTTCAACTACTCTTTCCACCCCATTCTAAATTCCACTAAATTTCACAAAAACAGGTAAGAGGAGAAGAAGCTGCCTGATCCCAGTTGTCTGACAAAAATACATGACCCACAAAATAACCAAAGAAGAGATACTAACCTATTCTTTCAAACCAAGGAATAAAAACTGCAGCAGGGCCAGATACAAATAACTTTCAGAGGAAACATACTGCAAAACATGTTCCCTATTGCTCTGTCTGCAAACCACAGCTAAGAGGTGTGGTTTTTTTCAATTTTAAGATTGAGCTTTGCTTAAGTGAAGAATGTTATCTGTTCCGCTTTGGAGTAATGAGCCTTAAAGAATCTGCACTTTTATTTCACAAGATTTATGAGCAAAGATAAATATCACTAGTATTCAAACTTCATCTTTATTATACATATTCCTTCAATTACTTGCATTTGCGATATTCTAACATGCTCTAAGTTCCTAAAAGTTGGTATTTTGATTGGTTCTGTTCATCTGCACTTACTGAGTTTGGAATCTTCATTAACATTTCCTGGTGGAATATACAAAATCCATTTTTTTTAGCCTGATGACACTAAAAGGTCAAAGTCCCCATACTAAGCCTGATAAAAGTCCAGCTACTTCAAAAAAGAATTTCATGTCTTGCTGTATTTCCACTTTTTCTGTTCATTTATTAGGTAGGGCCAGTTTTTCCATTTTTATGCAAATCTTCAGTACTGGTCTTAAAAGCAGAAGGCCATTACTCTACTGAGTAAACTACTGAGTTTGGGGATTTTGGTGGAACTGTTTACAGTCCACAGTACCTTGCAACATGTGGAAAGATGGTGGAATCTGACACCCAGATTATACTCTCCAAGAGCAAAGGACATCTCACCCTTGCTTATAGAGTGCCCATCTTTGGTGCTATAAAATAAATAAGTATTTAGCATAAAGAACTCTTCACCTGCAGTGACGAAGAGACTGAGCTTTCCTCTTAACAGCAGGGGAACAGGTCAAGAAGATTGTATTCTGGCACACCAAAGAGATGCAGAGAGTTCACTTCATTGCTGCCCTTATCAGTAAATTTTGGCAATAGGATTTTCAGGTTTTGCAATACAACACCTCTTGGTTACACTGAATTCAGTTGTTCTTAAAACAATGCCGAATTGTTTTATAAACTGCAGCATGCTGAAAACTGATAAGCAGTTCACTGGATCAATGCAAAATGACCAAGATTGTTAACAACTGGCATATTCAATTCAATACTCACGTTGGTTACCAGCTCCCTTAAACTCACATATGAAATTTTTGGTGTTAATGGCTTTCAAAATATAAGTAAAGCTACTTTTTCAGATATTCTCCTCTCATCAAACAACTGAAAGGTAAAGATGATGCAGTGAAAAATACATGAAAGGGCTGCATAATCAGAGTGAGAGGAAACATTAGAGAGAAAGGTATGCATTAGGCTTTCTCCTACTTGTGTCAGAAAACATATTTTCCTTTTCTTTCTTTTCATATTGATTTTGCACCTATCTGACTGTTGAGCAAAGACACAAAACCCCTACGATTCCAGTTTCAAAGTTGCCAAGAACAAAGCCTAGCCCCAGTGCTTTCCCAAAACAGTCCTCCAAAACTCACTGCAGTAACTTCTCCTTGTGTAGGACTGAAAGTGTTTACGGTAGAAACTAAAAGCAGCACTAACATCTCTGAATGAGATCCTGAGAGTCTAGGATAAGAAGAGATCCTGACAGTTTACATAAAACAAACAGCCACCCTTTTCAAACACTTGAATGTAAAGTACTGGTTCTCCTCCCAGCTAGTCTTTTTTTTTGCTGAATATTTATAGTGCTGACAAATGACACCATATAAATAACATGACTTTGATGACAAGAAAATAGTAACAAATTAACAATAAGTGGTAATTAACTTGTTTTCAAATACTGCTCAGTGGCTAGATAAGATTTAACATTTTCAAACACCATTAGTTAATCTTTGTAATTTTTAGGGGGGTGGCTTCCTTCCATAAAGTAAAAAAATACAAGTTTTATTGAGCTAGGAAGCACAAGTCAAAATCCTACTGAGGGCAAGTTAGCAGTAGTTTTAAACTGTTTAGCAAGCAGGATTAAAACTCAAAATTCCTCCACAGAATTGAACATAACCTGCTAGCTCTTGCCAAATGATGTTTAAAATTTTTGGTAACGTTAAACACAGACCATTTTCTTAGCATAAATAATTATGCCACAGAAATATGCCTAAGGTCCCAACAAGTCATTTCAGGTAAACAATTCCAGTTTAAAAAAAAAAAATCAACTCATACCTAGACCCTAAAAGATCAACTGTGCTCCCAGAAGGATACATATCAATGCCCCCAGAAAACTAAACTTATTTGTAAAATATGACCAGAATTCTAAGCGTAGTCAATAGCAAGTCACTGGAATCCAACTTAAATTATGTAAAAATTGACAAAATAAAATATCAATGAAACATTAAACTGTTCAATAGAACTGTGCTTCGTGAGCAGAAGCGGACATGCAAATCACATACAACATTACACGGAAAGGTGCTGGATATCGTTTTTATCTAAAAATGGCAGACAATTGCCATGTAAAGGCCTATTAACGGAATTCTTTAAGTTTTATAAGGTTTTATGCATTTGCTGCATAAATGCTCTTAATAAAAACACTTAAGATCCTGTGCATTAAGAAATTCAGGAAAAAGTCTGTTTTCCCTGACTCAGGAGGATTGTAAGAAGCCTTCATTCACTCTGACAATATTTTAATGAAGATAACACATTTTCGTGACTAGGAAAGGTACCCAGACTAGGACACTGTCTAGAAGGGACGTGTCAAAGCACTATACAGTTAAGAGCACTGTCAATGCAGTGCTGCATGTACTATGGATTATGGGCGAGAGGCTGAAGAAAGAAGTAAAGGCCACGTGTCCCAGGTTAGGAGCCTGACCACAGAATTGTAGGCTCAGCCCTAACAGAAAGCTGCTCTGAGAGGTGATTAACCTTTCTATTCTTTTGGTGTCCTCCAGTGGAACTAAAATTTATCCAATGTAATACTAATAAATGAAATTTATCTGTAGTTCAAATACTAATAAATCTTGAGCCTGAACGCACTAAAGGACATGAGTCATTTTGAACTGCAGCCTGAAGTAACACCCGTTCAGCTGTAAGGTGGAGAGGACACGTATGTGGTTATCATTTCCTCTGTCACAGAGAGGAGCATATGTTTCACTGCTGACTGGTTTGCTTTTGCAGGGGAAAATCTGCAGTACACTCTGGTTTGGTCTTTTTTTTTTTTAGGGTGCTCATTGCCTTGGTCCCAGCCTATTTAAAAGGCCGGTTAATGTTTCAAGAAGAATGATCAGCAGCTGCACTTCACTGAAAAAACAGAACTTCTGTCTACCAGAAAAAACATCACTTTGTGCAAGAAGCAGAGCTTTTCCTGCGGGCTGGTTTCAAAGCAAGGAACTATTTCCCACAGAAATTAAGAAACTCATGAATCCTCACTCTTAAGCAGGTCATACACTTTCTTGACTTCTGTTTCTCACAACCCCCAGAGGAATGTGGGGTTTTAAAGAGTAACAAGGGAAAAAAAACCAGCACAAACCTCTAGCATACTAAGACTTTACACTGAACACTCGCTGTCCACCCCGAGAAGAAACAATAAGCTCCCTGTGAGACACAACAGGCACACTGAGTATGCACTGCTAGAAAGAGCAGTCTGAGTGGAAAAGACTTTCCAGTTAGAACATGTGGATGTTAACACAGGTTTTCTAACTTTTCTGAAGGCTAGAGAAAGCGTACCTCACCATCTTGCAAAATGTAGGTTTTATGGGCAAAGCGCCCCTAAGAAGATCGAGAGGATGTGGAATAAATATCTTTTTATGTTTCTGAGTTTCTGAAACACAACAATATGGTGTTCAATGGCATAAGCCAGTCTTCAGTCAGGTCAAGGGGATTGTTTCTATTAGCTAGAAGAGGTTTGGTATGGATCTCACAGGCCTGGAGACATGAACTACGGTGGCTTTAAGCTAACTTTTTATCCTTCTGTTCTCAGCCTGTTCTGGGGAACGCCAAAATTCCTGACCTGTTTAAAACACCTATTTTGTCCCTAACCAAAGCACCCACCCATTTCATTGTAACTTTTGTGAGCTGATCTACAGACTGTCATGCTGATCCCATTCTCCTCAATGCTGTGCACGATGTCATAGTTACGGCATGCTTCTGCTACTTTAACTTCTTTCTCACACTCCACATGCCACATCTTTCCAAACAATACCTAGAAAGCAGCTTTGCCACTAGTTTTCCAAGTGACTTTCCTTCAAAAAGTTCAGGGTTCTTAAGTAGCTTTATAGCACTCTAATCTTTTCCTTATCTAGCAAGGGAGGGTGCAAAGTGAGCATGAAGTTGCTAAACAGAAAAGCATTGCTCAACACTCCAAAACTTTCAGATCACACAATTTCATAAAGAGATTCTGTAAGAAAACCTGTTATCCAAAAGGTTATTAATTTCCCTTCTTATTTTTGTTTTGCTTTCACTGATGATATAGCAAATATAATACTTCTTTACATTATATTTTCTATATCTCACACTTCAATTACCATATAAATTCAAAATTAAGCATTGATCAGCTTCCAGAACTTTTAGAGTATTAACTTTAGTGACTATCTTATGAAGAGTATTAGGATATCAGAAATTATAGTTTGGATTGTAATTTTTTAAATTACTATATTGCAGAAGCAACAATTATTCATATAGTTAAGTCTCTGTATTTCTAATTACCTTTCTGTGCCTGTACCACTTCATCATCTGATTCCTTTGGAACGAAAATCTCTTTTATAGCAATTAAATCATTTTTCACAGTCTCCAACTGCTCTCCATCAAGTGTTGCTAAATATGACTGAATCTGTAAAAGAAGGGACAGTAAGCATTCCTAACCAAAACAAAAGCATTTCTTAAATTGCTAATTTAGAGCCTGATACTAAAATAGGCTAAGAAATGGAAACTTCCATTATGCTCAAATCTTGTCTCTAACCTTCAAATGTAGACACATTTTTAGTTCTCATCAACAAAATCTATTGAGTATCACAACAATTACACCAGCCTTGCAAGATCATCGGGTCTCTACCTTCTCCCCGAACATTAGTTTTGAATTATAAATCTATGGTTTAATTGCAAACTGTAATAAGCATTTTGGGATTGCTTGGATGAAGACAGCAGGCAAAAAGAGCCCAGGCACAATTCATGCTTAGTCTTCATGGGAAGAGTTGGAAAAAGAAGCCTGTTTCCCCTCCTTCAAAATGCAACCAAAATTATTGACAGTCTACCAGTCTACCTGTTCTGAAGAATGTATTGAGATGTCTTTGCATGTCTCAGGTATCTGCAAGTCCCTGCATATCTAATAGGGTGCCATGCCTAAGAGGGATGGAAACAGATTCTTTGAATCACTGTTTGTTTGCACTACAGTTACGCAGTGTTAATCCCATGATTGCACTCTCTGCCTATGGAAGCCAAGAGAAATGCCTTCTCTCCCTTTGATGCAAAAATTTCACTTTTAGGTTTGTTTCAAGTTTTTTTCTTTTAAGCTTGCTAGACAGACATGCAGACTGGCTCTGTGAGAGACTGGAGAAAGACATTAGTTTCTTACGTTCCTCCTTGATGTGCCCAGCTCATATGCTCAGGGTTAAATGCAAGAGACCCAACTCAGGCCGTGAAGGATTACCTAGGGCTTTTTGGCCCTCGCTATGGCATTGTCCATTTCATAGGATTAACTGGGACCATTTTTAATGGAAACTTTAAAAAAAAAAGCTTTAAAATATTTTTTAAATCCCTGCTATTAGAAGGACATAGGACATTAGCAATGCCTTCTGTCTCTCTTGTGCTCCTCCTGTGGCCCATCAGAGTGTGGCTTTTGGGCTGTTAGTACAGGTCTCAAGCTTACACCACTGTAAGTATTTTGTGTGTGTGTGTATGGTAACTGGAATATGTTCTGTGAGTCTTTTGGAATATATATCATGGAATTGGACTTGTTGAGCCAGACAGTTGCACTCAATCCTGTGGGAGAGAGCAGGACTACGAACCAGGGGTTATCTAGGACATAACAGTAGGCACATAAGAAACCTCATAGTAGCAACCCGCACAAGTCTTCCTTACCCTGTGGTATTTAACAGTAAAAGAAAAATAGTCTTGACACATGCAATTAACCTGAACTTCTTATCTATTTATCTTTCTTGTTTTGTGGTTTGGTTTTTTTTGTTTTTTTTTTTTTTTTTTGGTTTTGTTTTTTTTTTTTTTTTTTGGTTTTGTTTTTTTTTTTTTTTTTTGGTTTTGTTTTTTTTTTTTTTTTTTGGTTTTGTTTTTTTTTTTTTTTTTTGGTTTTGTTTTTTTTTTTTTTTTTTGGTTTTGTTTTTTTTTTTTTTTTTTGGTTTTGTTTTTTTTTTTTTTTTTTGGTTTTGTTTTTTTTTTTTTTTTTTGGTTTTGTTTTTTTTTTTTTTTTTTGGTTTTGTTTTTTTTTTTTTTTTTTGGTTTTGTTTTTTTTTTTTTTTTTTGGTTTTGTTTTTTTTTTTTTTTTTTGCAAAAGCAGGCCCTTGAACCTTGCATGTAGGTTTTGAATTTATAATTTTGCATTTAGACATAATTGCAAAAACTAAAACCAACATGGACAGTATGTACCTAGCTGTTATTAAAATAAGCTTCTTTTATTTGTGACAGCAAATAAAACATTAAAAAAATAAGTTGGTTATTTTTTATTAAAAATAACCCAGAGAGCACGGAGTGCTAATTACTAAAACAAAAAAGAAGAAAACATGTATTTTAAGAAATGTATTCAGAAAATTGTTTCAGTACAAAATACCACTTCTGGGAATCTACAGAAGTTCTGTTAATCTACTGTCACAGATCCACTGACAGCTAAAATCAAAAATATATTTATCAAATAGGCCTTAGTAACTTCAGCATGTTCTTCAGAGAGATATATAGCATTTGTATGCTTCCAGGAATGATATCTTTGGGTAGTTTTATGTAAGTTTAAAAACTAACACAATAAAGAAGACTTAGGAATTGAATAAGTAATCTGGAATTCATTTTAATTCACTAGCCTCTAGGTGTAGTAGGTCTGGAATTCCTGAATGTAAGTATCAGTGCCTGATACAAAACCAAAAGACACCAACTTCCTTGCAAATTCTGAAAAGACATCTGCATAGTGTCACAAGCTGAAAAATACACGCTATATATGGTCCTAACAAAAATAACTTTCAGTTGTGAAGTTGTTTGTTTTGAGTTAATCTTGGAGTTAAAATTTACATGTATTGAGATTGATTTCCTGAAGCCAAGGAATGACCTGTGGGACCAATCCAGCTTTCTCTGAAGTTGATGAAAAACTTACTGTTCATTTCACATGGACCTGTAGAGCAAAAATTTTTTACCAACCCTTTTGATTTATACTGTCTGCATACTGTACCTGGGCTTCACTTTCATTTGACAGGATTTCCAGAGCTTCCAGATGAGACAAACCCTGGAACTCATCAAAAAGTAGTCCATAATGTGCTGTTCTTTCAACTGTAACTTGCTGAGCCCGCCTCTGTTTCTCTTTTTCTTTAGCTTCTCGCAACAGCTGCAAAAATATACATAATTCCTGTTGTTTTATAGGTAGTGCTGTAGGTATGACAGATTTTATTACTTTCTGCTTCTGCTTGTCTAGGAAGTAGTAATAGAATTTGGGACTATATCACACCTGCAGAGCTGAAATTTTAGAACTGAAATATCTAACTTCTTTTTTTGATAAACTTCTCTAATAACATATTTAAGTAGTATTCCAAGTGTGGTTTTCCCAATGGTAATTGCTAACCATCTTTTTTAAAAAAACAATGAACAAACAAATAATCTTGCTTATGTTCTCATAAGCAATGTCAGCTATGGATACCGTATAATAAATTTAGCCACCAATTACAATGGAAGAAAAATAAAAAGGACTATTTCATACACAGCCTTAAAGAGTCACGCAATCCATTCCACAGACCACAAAATGGGAAGAATATTATTTTCAGGACCTACATACTTGCATGAACAATGTACCTACATAAATATTTCATATAAAATACTTTTAGCAGATACTAAAGTCAGTTTTATGTGACAGCAGGACTGACAAAAGAGCCTAATAAGGTATGACTTCTACCAAAGGTGGGGCAGAACTATATGCCATATACTTGGGGATATTTTGGAGTGATCTTCTTACACGCTTCCATTAGTGTATAAGAAGGATAGAATAGTGTATACAATAGGATCTTCTATTCCTTCCTTCTATTCCCAGGAAGGAATGGCCTCCCATATGAATTTGCTACAGTAAAGCTGGCAAATACCTCTGAACTGCATCTTAAGTCACATATAAGCCTCTGAATATAGGTGAACTCTCGCCACTTACTTACACTATTCCATCATTCAAAATTTCTATGCTATGTCTTCAGTTATTCATTTGTTAGGAAAGACTTATGATGGCATTTTTCAGCCTCCACCTTCAAAAGATCACTCACCAAGTTTTATGCACAAATCACTGAAAAGGAAGCACTGCGTTATGCAACCCATGAGAACTGATTTATGTCACTTTCTGCCTCAGATTTTATGTGTGAATTCATGCATATTGTTTAGGAAGGTATTCTCAAAAGCTCATTTTAACCCTGTGGGCCTTAACACAAGTTACTTGCTTTTGGCCTACTACAACAGTACCAGTCTGTTTACACTTACAATGACCAACACTAAAGATGAAACATCTCATTAAAAGAAAAATACCTTACTCCTCTCTACAAGGAAGTAAACACGTAGTAAAATTACATTTTTTTCCAATGTTTCTTGATGTCCACAGCCTCTCTCCTCTCAGTATCTGGAGACCTAAAATAATTTTGTACTGACAGCACTTATACATCTGTTTTTATCATGTCTCTGAACTTTTAAACATATGAGTCACGACTGTGTAAGGGTACCATTAGTTTAGATGGACATTAAGATAGAAACAGCTTTAATTCCATATGTCATATTCCAGTATGACTCATTTCCAAGGAAAGTAATACTACTTGATATTTATGCTGGAAGATATCTACCTGCAGCTGTTACAAAAACACCAACAATTTGATTCTGTCTCCAGAGTGTAGTGATATATCACCACATATACTATGTTATTAAAATCAGCTATTGTACATGTGATTATGTAGAAAAAAAAGATTTTACTTCATCTTTTGTGGTTCTGTGAGGAAAAAGAAAGTGGAGCAAATATAAAGAATAATATTTATTTCCATAAGCCTAGCCAATACCTACTGCAATAAATAAAGCCTCTCCCTGAGGCATCTGAAATACTGGAAGAAGAATCTGAAACTGCATTGATAGAGCTGTATTTAAATAAATCCAACCTGAGACAGAGAAACTGTTCTTGCCATCAGTGTTTTGGTTCTCTTAAATCCAGGATCGCTTTCTGCAAGGACGTTCATGGTTGTCTTCCCAATAAATTCCAAAGCATCTAAGCCTCCAGATAATACACTTTTCCCCTGTATAAAATAATGCAACGTGGTTATTTTTTTTCTACTTTATGCTAATATGAACTGTAAAGAGTATTGCTTTTGCCGACACCATCTTTGAACATTCAGGTCCCTAGATTTTCTATGCTTTAACTAACAATAGGATTGATACGCTTATAAAATTATGTTACTTTGTTCTGAATACATTTTAAAAAAGAAAAAAATGAATTATACAAATATTTCTAGTTAATTAAAAGACTTACACCGGAGGAAATGTAACACCTGTTGCCAATAAAAAATTTATGAATAATACCACTTTAATTTTATCTGAAGCGGCATCTAGTCTGTGGGAACGTATTTTAGATATGAATCAGATGAAGCCAAAGTCTTTCATGAACAGGATGACCCTGCCTGACCTCACTGATTTCTAAAATTTTGACACTTGTGATGACGCTGGAACTGTCTATCGAAATACAGTTGGTTTTCCTCTGTCTTTGTATTAGCATTAGCCTTCACTCACAATTTTTCACATCCACTGAAGAAGAACTTTCACTGGCTAAAGATTTCCATTTCAACCTGGATTATGCATCTGTCAGATACTCATATGCTGATGTAACCTGACATATAATGGAAAACCCTACCAAAGTCTCAAATGGCATTACAGGCAACTTACTGAGATCTTAAGTTATTCTTTTGCTTGGTGACGTTCATCACTGTGGTATAGTAGCCTCTCTAGGTTTGCATAAGAGCACATTTCTCTTATTTGAAAACCTTATACAATGCTCAGGTAATCTTACTGGTGCCCAGTTCTCAGAAGCCCTACGATGCTCCAGATTCTGTAACAACAGTCTTAGGAATAGTCTATAGGAATCTCCCTCTGCTCCCAAAATCTTTGATATTAGAGTGATGAGGCATTCAGAGGGAACTGGATATGCACTAAAAAAGAATTGCCGCTTCAGAAAACATGCTCAGTGGGGAGTTAGTCTTCTATGCTTTTTTAGCTGATGCTTAATCTTTCATAATTTCAAGGGAAACATCATACTGAAAAGTTCAGAGAAAAACATTTGCTATGGTAATAGTGTGTAAAAAATGTCGGGGAAGAAACCGACACAAAAATTGATTTGGAAACAGTACGGTACAGGATTTTGCAAAAGCTGAAACACAGAAAACCAGAAAAGGATGAAGTGCAACACACAGAAAATATATGGAGAGTGTTAACAGGAGAGAACTGTGGACAAAAGGATTTGCCTCACTGAGTCTGCAATCAGACCACCTTCTGTGAAGGCTAATATGAAATGAGAGACTAGACAGAGAGGTGAAGGTAAGGGCCAGGGACTAACAATGCAGAGTTTAGCAAAAGTCTTAAAATAATCAAATGGAGTATTTTCTTATTTTATCTACCTTCGAAAATGATAACAAATCTTATCATACTTTCTCTGGAAGGACTTAACTGCAAAAACAATAGACGATGGTATGACAACTACAAAAAAGATTTCCCAAGAATTTGCAGAATTCTATATAGTTTAGGAGAAGGCGATACTTTTCACTGAAACTGGTGCCAAAGCAGTACCTGACTTAGTTGTGTTTGACCTTTTTTTTTAATTTGATACAGTCTCTGCCATGGAAGAGACTCTAAACAGACTTAGAACAGAACTGTTTTTACCAAGACCTACAACTTAACAAACTCCACCTGTTAAATGTGACCTACAGTGAAGTTGCACCTAAAAATGATGAAGAATAACTAGAGCAGAAAGGCCCACTAAAATGACTCACTGTGTTCTGTACAGCATTAGTGATAGCTGACAACATGCCACGAGATCCAGATGAAGGAGAAGAAGAAATATTCTCAGAAGAGCTTTGATCCAGAGAATCTTCTGCTTCTAACAAAAGAAAAAAAGCAAGCTACAGCATACTTTCAACTCTACAAGTCACAAATTACAGTAAACTGGATTCTGTGATCAAAATCTTAAAATTTTGTAAATTGGAGTAATTTGGCAGTGTCAAAGAGTTTTGTCCAATTTCAGTAAACTTGAACTTACGGATAACTGGTGTTTCAGCTGCAGGAGGCTCTGCTGTTTCTGAAGATGCTGAACTTGCGTTATGAATTCCTAGGGTAGTTCCTGCTTTTTCCTTTACTGCTGTTATCCCATGACCTGCAGCAGAAGCATATATTAAATTACATGATTTGAAAACTTATTACTAACAGTGCATAGTATTCTTATACTCCACGAATGATAACAATCAGAATAGCTATTAAATTTCCCTCAACTGCTTAATTTTTTTCTAGGTTAATAATTCACTTGTTCTACTATATCCAGTATATTAACTGACTAGAAATTATAAAGCTGAAATATAATACAAATGGCACTGGATCGGATCTGAAACGTAAAACTTGTTTCAGTGGCACACGTAAGTAGTTCCCTGCTTTTCAAAATGCTAAATATTCTATTACAATTAATTTAAAGAGAAATTGATGGTCCTCCTAATGCCGTAGGGTTTGGCCTAATCTAGTTTTCAGAAGTACAGAGAACTATTAACCCACAATTAATGGACTGGGTGACGGCAGGGCTGAGGTAAGGAATCTGTTCTTCAGCCTGTTGCATAGGTGCTACGTTAGGTAAGTATTTTAGGAATACTGACCCAGGTCCTCAAAGTTATTTCAGGATTTCAGCTCCTCATTTGCTCATTTGAAGTCAAATTCTAAAATGTCTCTTCTCAAAGCTGCTGTTTAAATATACTTTGTAAAGTCTGTTGGTGTCAGATCACGAAGACAGAATTATTGTTCCAGTGGCAGCTGATCATCTACAGAGATTTTACTACCTTTACCTGACACATACGTAGTGACTCCCTAACTCTCTGTTCTATTAAAATGGTCTATTTTAATGTAAAGAATGTATGCTATTAGTGTTTTTATTGGAATAATTTCGACAGAATGGGATTGCTTTGCTGCTTTTCTACACGGAGTTTATTTACACCAGCAGATCACATGGACTGGTAATATCCTGCTATAGGACAGGGTGGGATTGCCTGGTAGTCAGCAAAAGGAGACAGTAGCTTCCTAATCTGCATCAGCTGTAGTTGAAAAACACTGCCCTTAAAAAAGACTACCCTCAAATTGTCTGCCTATTCTGCTTCTGGATATAGCCACAAGTATGTTCATGATATACTTCTCTCATTACAAATGATCCAGCTAGCACATCTTCCTTAGCTGGAAGTTCCTGCACATCAGCTGAGATGCACTAAGTAAACAACCAACCAGGTCAGCAATATTTCTTTCCAATACAAAATGAAATGGCTTCAGTGAACCTATTTTATTTTTTCTTGCACAGTACACCATTACTGCAGCTCACGTAAAGCTGATCACTTCTAGCACTAGGACAATACAGAGTGCTTTAACTATCTGCCTGCTTATGAGAAGTACTAATGACAATTTCGTACTTCTTTGCTTTGTTACCTTAAACTGAACTGTAAAAAGATAATTTATTTCAGAAAAGCCATTAGCACAGATGCTCAGGCAGATAGATACCTAGACATTTAAGGCATGAAGTCAAGCATATCGATTCATTAAATGTTGTCCATACTTTCCCACAATTGTGTGCACGTTCTATTAGAAAAGTTCAAAGCATCTTTTCTGAGTTACATTAACTAAAGCAAAATAGCCTATCACTTACCAGTGCTCTGCAGTGTTCCGAATATACATATATATGTGTGTGTGTGTAGTCATACAAATATGCTTTTGAATATCTGATTAAAGAAAGATACAGCAAAACTATTTGAAATGGAGTAGGAAGAAGGAAAGCTTAGATTTATGATTCTGTTATTTCCAGATGGGTTGCACATCAGGCGCTCTATGAATTCAGTAATAAATATACTCTAGAAAAAATACGTGAAGCAGCACTACTGAAAGATCACATACAAGAAAACTGGAGTATCTGGAGGTAAACACCAAGAACAGATGTCCCCTAAGGAGCAGATGAGCAGAAACAAGTGATTTTCTATATGACAGCATAAGCTGCATGGGGTCCTGATGTTTTTACACTGCAACAGAGAGACTAGGCAGGTAAATGCTTTTACCCATCTAAAGCAAGTATGACCTTTGTCTATTTCATCTCATGTCTTACAAAATGTACCAGTACGTCCAACTGTACAGGACATACTAGGTTATGCACCACAGTGATTTAAGTCATTGCTGGGTAACGTCTTGCCTTTTGCAAAATCTGTTCCAATGCAGATACTAGAGAGTGGCGTACTACGTTGTCTAATCCCAATCTCCTGCACGTTTTAATTGGTTCAATGAAAATATTAGCATGAATAGATTCTGGAGTCATTTATTTACTCTCCAAATTCCTGGAACTCACTCAAATAACTATTAATTGTTCTTTTAAACTAATGTAATTGATACTCCATGTCACATTCCTTTCCATTTCTGCTGCTCACAACTTTTTAAATGAGCAAAAGAGTTTTATTCTTTCCATTGACTTACTTTTTCTTAAGGACTTGACTTGCTAACAAAATATTACTGTCCTGTAATTATATAAAAAATTAACTACAAACATTAAGCAAAAATGTCTCTTTAACTGTGTATGAAAGTTATTGATTTTCAGATTAATTTTCAAGTTTTTTTCTGTATCTAAACATTTTATTTTTTTTTATATTCTGTAATTTGGTTTGCATAGTTTTGCAGACAAGCTTATACTTCCAAGAAAAGGAGGCACACAGTTCCTGTACTGATATTTACAGACTTCTTATAAAACACAGCATTTTCAGGGCCGGGGTTACAGGCACTAAAATGATAAAAAAATATTTCAGGTCAGCTAGGAGTGGTTATGCTGAACTCAGCTGCATGGCATGTATGTTTGACTACAACAACAAAACCAGATGAGATCAGAAGACCACAACTGAAGCAAGTCAGCACTGTTAGATACACATATATGCACAAACACGGCAGAATCGCATGTTGCTTTGGAAATGAAAATGATTATTTGCAATTTCAAAAGAGACAGAAATAAAAGAGGTTGTGGGAGACGAGCCTCCATTTTAGAGATAAAGGTGCACTGGTTTTGTTACACTGGGTGTGGTAACGCAACTGAGCTGGTATTGTAAACTTAGGAACACCTCTCCATTTACTCATCTGTAACAGCAGAGACAGAAGAGCTATGCAACAGGTATTGTTAACTGCTTACTTTTTGAAGAAAGCATGCTTTTTTTCCTGTGTTGTTGCTTTTGTTTTCCTTGCCTACACGATTTCTGTTCTTTCTATTGGCTGGCAATTTCAGCAGAATATTGTTGTTCATCTTGCTAGCTAGAATCTTTCATTTGAAAAGGAAGGTTTTGCAAGCAGCGCCTAAACACGTGGCCTGCCTTTGAGGTTGCCTGATGTGCCCAAGGCCAGATCACAGTGCTCACAAATGCTTTAGTCAGAAACATCCCACTTCACTTTAGGCACTCTTATCTTCCATCTCCCAGCTTAGTAGCTTTGGATTCCCTGCAGAGCTGAAAAGAGGCAGACAGACACCTCTGGAGGGCAGTTCAGCACGCCTGAAACCTAAACCATTCTCTGCAGGAATTGCTGCCCCGTGTCAACCTAGTACTCCCATGCAACTGGACTCCCTGCTTCAGCGGTACAGATACAGAGGGTGAGTTTGAGATTTTGTCCCTGGCTACCACAGAGTCTTTGTCACCTGTGTTGCACCACGGGGACATTTCTGATGAACAACCGATCAAAATTCAGTCTAGTAAGATGAATGAAGCTTCATCTGGTTCAAGCTAAAGATGAAGATCAAGGCCTTAAATTAGCATCTGACGCTGACCGAGAAACGGAGGGACCTGAAGATGGCTGGGGTGGAAATCACTCCACTATATGAAGCATAGGTATGTGGAAAAGCCAGCTGTGCTCTGGTTTGTACACTAAAAAAGTGGGACCCCATTGTGCTCACTTTGAGGCTATCCTATTGGCACTCCATTCCCTTCAAGGCTTTAGAAAAATTCTCTTCCTTGTAGTTAAAACAAAAACACAGGCTATATTCTGATAATACCTGTGCTATCCAGTCTGTAAATCGGGAATAACTCCAATTAAGCTAGTAAATGAGACTAGTTTCAGATCTCCTTACTGCAATGGTAAAAGGTTTTAATAATAGCAATAGGCATAAAGGCTGCTACAACAGATTATTGGTTCTCAACCTCTTCTAGATCATAAACCCATGTTAAAAGATATACAGAAAGAAAATTGGACCACCATCCCCAAGAGCATGTCCACATTTCCTCCCATCTGATACTTGCATTCAGTATTCTTAAAAAGGAGGAACTGTGAAAAAGGGGGTTGCTAATACAGCAGCTGTAATGTGTTATTTACAGAACAGTTGAGTGACCACCATTTGATTTCAGGCACAAAACAGTTTTCCCTTCATCAGCTGAATTTATGCAGTGGGGAAAAAATAAAAAAAAAGTTTTTCTGAAGAGATTAACTGTCCTTTTTATGACTACGTAAGGTATAAGCATAACATCCAGTCTTTGGTTTTTTTTTAGTGTCATTCTTTATTTCACAACAGTGGAGATATCTGTAGAGAATGGAAAAGATATTCACATCATTTCAATACTTTCACATTATCTGAAGCATTTGCATTTCCGTTCCACACAGACTTCAGTTTAAGCTATGCAATGTAGATTATTACACATACCTATGTGTAATAATATCCAAGCTCATGAACACAGTGACATCACAAGTGACATTTCATTCTGTCATACTGAGTGACAAGAAAAGGTTTTCAGCATACCAGGGAGAACTATGGGTGTCTGATACTTCTGTGTGCCATTCTACCAGGTGAAGAACTAGATGAGGAATATATACAAGCAAAAAATAATCAAGATATCAGAATATCAGTTACAAGCAATGCATGAGAGAGATGCATTAAGCAGCCTTACAGTATGAATTTCAGAGACCATGTAAATTAGATAGCTGAGTTCTATTTTTTATTACTTTTATTGTGTAAGAAGTATTGACAGATGTTAGTCCTACCAATGGCACTAGAGGTAAAAAAAACCAAACTTGCATGGGGGGAAGCACATGCATACAGCACGACAGAGAACAGACTTTGCTTGGAAATGCAGCTTGTTCAGCACCACAACGCCACAATTCATGCATACAAAACAATACAACATATGGAAGGCAAGGCTTGTAGGAGAAGGTAGTAACTTTCATTAAGCTAGCAGATAGCTTAGTTGGAAAAAAACCCAAACAGGCAAGCTGTCAAGCATACAAGCTGTTTTTAAAAATGGAAGTCACAAGCTTCAAGTACAGACTGAGAATGTTTTGCCTCACTTAAGCCCTTCAGATAAAAGGTTTGCTGTTATGGCTAAGCTGACCTAATGGCTTCTTGGTGCTGGTATGGGAGGTTCTGCTCCTTCCACGTTCCATATTTGTCCCTACTGCTTGCCCTGGCACTTATCTCAGTGAGTTGGTTCAAGGAACTAAAGAGGCAGAAAATGGATTTTTCTTTCCTCTAGAGTTATTCTTATGTCAGTTTAGCTTTCTGAACTGCATTACTGGGAGCTCAGAGGAGCACGAGTGCCGGCACAGGGAGGAGAAAGAAACGCGCAAGGAAAAGAGAGAGCAGGACTGCACACTTCAGTGGCTGCTAGCCATTAGATTGGCTTAGCTGCAATGGTAACCCACTGTCAGAGCAGAGTTTTATTAACACTGTTACTAAAACACTGGATGGTGTAATTACTGATTTACTAAAAAATACAATTTAAAAGAAAGAGGGTAACAATAAGTACAACAAGTTGTGTATCCAGATCACAGTGAGCCTACTTCTCCCATCTCATCATCCCAGCAACAATTTCAGTGGATCTACTCCACTGTGCTTCCACAAGGGGGGAAATCAAACTTGCACCTTTTAAAAACGAAAGAAAACTCTTCAGCTCATTAATGACACAGATTCAATAACTTTCTTAGTGTGACATCTAGTGTCAGCCACTAAGCATGGTTCAGGCAGTGACTGCTACTAATCCAAACGCATTACAGATTCTGTTGTGTAGAGGAGTATCACATCTGCCTTGTGGCGGGGACCTTAATCCAAATTACGTCAAAATCAGTTCAAAGACAACAGACATTTGCTTTAGAATACAAAACCATCGCCAAAAAAATCACTGGCTATATATGCACAGCTAGTTAAAGAGAGATAAGATACAAATTATATGGAAACTACCTTATTGTTAGAAACTAAAATCAGCTATGCTAAACAAATTAGAGCCATGCAGTAAAAATGCTAATCTGTTTGGGAGCTCTAAATAGGGTTTGAAGGATAATGAAACTGAGATCCTTGGAACAACCATTTCAGCTCAATCTTAAAGAGAAAGGAATGTAAAAAAGAAATTTTTTACAGTAAGAATGGTCATTCACTGGAACAACCTCCCCAGGGATGTGATAAGAGTCCCCACTGCTGGAGGTTTTCAGAGATGTGACTGGACAAGGTGCTAGATAATCTCATCTAGGTGCCCCTTCCCACAGCCCGGACTAGATGATCTTTCGAGGTCCCTTCCCACCTGGGCTGTTCTATGATACAATTTGTTAAAAGCTGAATGTGTTTGGTTAGGCCTTTAAGATGTCATCTAGTCCATCTCAAACTGTTTCTGCTGCTTTTACAATTTTGAAGAAAAGTACAAGGAATAGTAAATATTTGCCATACTTAACGAGACAAGCAGCTGTGCTGTACAAAGGTAATGACAGAGCAACAGAAAAATCACATACCTGGTGTGATGGTGTTGCTGGTAAGTCTAATTCCAAGAAAGCAGCTTTACTTATACCATTTGCTACACTGAAGGAATAAGCAATATTAAAATGGACTGGATCATGGCAAGCCTATTTTCTGATGTAGAATAGGAGATGAAGTGTTAGTTGAACTGCTCAGATATTACATGGAGTAACTTGAGGGGGGATAATAAATATTTAATAAATAGAAGAAAGCTTATAGAAATTCCCCATAGCTTTAATTTTTTTCTCTCTCTCTGTCTCTTGCTAGGAATTATCATACTGAAGCAGATATATGGTATGCACAGTCCCACATCCTGTCTATGACACTGACAGACAGTAAATACTTCACAGGATCAAGCATGAATTTCCATAACAAACAATTAGGAAATAAGCCCTCTATATCAGGAATATAAACTACTATCTGCTGCACTTATTTCCTGGAACAAATCTAAGATTATCTATGTGGTCTTCCAAGTTACCTTGGGTTCAGTGAACATGGAAGAATGTACATTTGATTTCTGCTTAATTCAAAGTCTATTTTATTCAATAAATTCACAGAGAAAAGTTAGATCCAAAATTATTAGATAGTAATGTGGGAACTCAACCTTACCCTGACCCTAGCAGGGTCAGGAAGTCTGTCTAAGCTGTAGATTCCAGGAAATGGGAAGAGAAAACAGGGGAAGTGCTGCTTTACGTACATCTAGTTCTAGACTCTTTCCTAGTCGCTCTTGGCCACTGCCAGAAACTAGTTAATAGATGGGTCTTCAGTGTGACATAGTGCAACTATTCTCATGTAAAATTAAAATTATTTTAAAATTTTCTTTTTCCTTTTCTGCATGTGGATGCTCCTTTGCCTAGGCAACTTGACCTGTTCCAACTGTGCTCATTTTTAAATAATAATAATTCTAAGAATATATGGTGATGATATGTCTATTCAAAATAGACACAATCACACAACCTTATCAAGTCAGGCTGCCTGGACAACAAACTTGTTTGCATATTTACACTCCATGAAGATAGTTATGATGCTGATACAGTCAGATGGTATGCTAAGAACCCAGTATCAATTAAGCATGAATTTAACATATATGAACCAGGATGTTATATGGCCTATATAAAAATGAGATCATATTATTAAAAAGTCCATGGAAATCCACAGAGATACAATGCTGGCAGCAGGTTTTATAGACAAAAGTAACAAACAGCTATAAAAAGGTATGTCTTGTTTACTTATTAGACAGTAAGAAGGGATACAACACACATTCTTGTTTGTCTCCCAAACTTTTTCCAACAGCACTCATCATTTTCAGGCAAGCTCATGTCAGTTGGGCAAGAAAATATCTATGGACATACTGCCCCACAGAAAGTGTATATGCTTTGTGACACTAAACTGATCGCTCAGTGAGGCCAAGACTTATAAGCCACAGAAGACTGTGAGTGAGATTGCCACTGCAAGCCTGCAAGAACAGTAACTGTTTGGTAACGAATAATCTTATTACTCACAAACAACATTAGAATGTCAATTTGATAGAATACTGTTTATTGTAAAAGCCAAACAGAATATAAATATGGCTATCTCACAGGCAAAAACTGAATGACTTGAAAGAGCTTTGTTCCAAGAAACCCATTGCTGCAACTATAAAAATGAACTGAAGAATTCATTAGCATTACAATTCCAACTGATCAGCAGTAAAATTACTTTATGCACATAAATTTTCTTCTTTAGTTATTTACGTTAAGCCACATTCTTTTCAGAATGCTGTTGTTATGATGGTCTGAGAATGTAAAAGAGGCAAGGCTCATGGAAGTCTGTGAAAGAAGTACCGTTTATTAGACCTACTAATAGCGTTGGGAAAAAAACGGGCAAAATTTTTGCACGGTGGGCCTTCTTCAAGTCTGAAAGAGAAGCGCTAAACTTTAAGGTTAAATACAAGTTGAGAACACCTATGCAGTTCCACAGCTAGTTAAGCTGCCCTTGTCCCCATTGGCATGTTCTGTGTGTTCCCATCGTTTCCCCATTCAGTAGCATTTGGGTGATCAAATGGTGAGCCAGATTGGGGAATTTACAAACTGATCCAGCTGAAGATCCAGCTCTTACTTCATTTGTACTTTTCAAAATCAGTCCCATAAACCAGCTCCCCTCATCACTGCATGAAGGGTACTGTTAGCATGAGTGAAGGAAGAAATACATTGCTGGGGCAGGGCAGGCCCGCTCCTTTCAGCAGCAACCTTCACTTATGTCAATTTAAAGACATTTTAGAAAAACATTCTGAGTTTAATTAGATATGTTAATTGCTTGGACTGTATGACAGAAAAGGTAGTTACAAACTCTTGAGTGTGGGTGTTACTGGAAAAAAAAGAGAAGCTAGGGGAAATTCCCTTCTTCTCTGAGAAGTAGACAGAAATAATTTATTGCCCATGGAACAGAGGAGGATAGGGAGGAGAATTACTCAGCCTTATTTGGGATCATAAAACCAATACTTCTGTTGAATCTGTTATTTTTAGTAACTAGCAATTAATTTTAATTCCTAGGTTCATCTTTTGAAGGTGTTTTGTGGATCCTTTATGACAACTGATTAGTTAGCAGCTTGGTAGCTGTTTTGTGAGAAATTATTTCCCACTGATAACTAGGTATTTGGATGCTTCGCTTTTTGTCTGTGATGTGTAATGATTAAGTTTTACCTAAAGTCTTCACAAGGGCATACTATCAGAAATGAGAGTATAGGGAAAGGGAGACAGGGTCCATGTCTCAATATGTTGTTCCACTCTCTGAAGTCTGGTGTGATAGCTTAACAGTTTCGCCAGGTGTCAGTGAAAGCTGGAATGATTTACAAGAAATGAATGCATATTGTATAGATAGAAGTCACGGTGTATAAATCACAAACATGCATGTCCATGAATTTGGGTCGGAGTGCTTTGACTTCAAAAACCATAAGCCTTTGGGTGACAGTAATTGTATCAGATTATGTATCCTTTCTGTGAAGAAGCTACAACAAGGTAATTGACTAACTCTACAAACAAGCCCAGTACCTTGTCCATAATGTGACCCAAAGAAATATTTATGTGCTTTGACAGTTTAGGAAGGTCCTTCTTCCTATTAAAAAAAAAAAATCACGCTTGCCAAGCATGTCAGGACAAAACTGTCTATCAGTCTTTAAGATACAACATTAATGTGTCTAATGACACATTAAAATTACGATATATTTCCACACACTTTACTGATTGAACACTTACCCACTGTGGCAGAAGCTGATGACAGGAGAGACTTCCCCCAGGTACCCCAAGCTCCCCATCTGCTTGCTTTAGATGAGGAGTCTGTGGCCTGTAAGAACAAAAATATTACTCCACTGTCTAAAATTTATATTATCTAAAGGCAGGAGGAAACACAAAGAACTTGTCAGGCAACAAAGTCCAGCATGTAATAAATGATGATTCGAGTAAAAATGGCTGTGCCACTACTTACAAGGGTATACAATCTGAAAACAGGCACTTTGTAATGTAATACTTGGCTTCCCTGATCATGGTGATGCCTTCTGAAGAACGATTTTCAAGAGACAGCACATACAGAGAAACAGCCCAGAATGATGACTGACTAAAGCTTTCCCACCAGCTCCTCTGGCAGATGCTTAAGCTTTTGTGCAAAGTAGTCCTCGCATGAAAGGTAGCATTCTTATGGCACTGCAGGGTTGTTACTGTTCTCACCTCACCACTTCTTCCCCCAGAAGGAAACCGAGGTCATCAACCTCACTCTGTGTCTGTGAAACTGATCATTTGGCTGTTTCCATACCAAGTCAGATAGATAGGCTAATTGGAACAGCCTTCTGTAATGGGTTAAACTAACCTTGCAGGCTTAGACTGAAAGGCCCCATAATGGGTTCTGCAGGCTCTACTGCAGAGCGTAACTTCTAGCTGAAGAATTGTAACATCTGGCTGGGAAGGTGCTAATACCGGTGCACACATCTGTGCAGTGAACAAATGATCACAAGTTCAATGTGAAACAAGAGCATCCCTATGGAGAATTAGCTAAGAGTTTGGTGTCATACTAAACTAAAGCTTATTTCACATATAGTATCCCTGGGCAGACATGCCCTCCTCTAGCTTTATTATAATGACTTATTTATACTGCCGTTATGTTCACAGTTTGGTCACTAAGGCCAGACTTTTAAAGGTCTTTTCATTCCTAAAAGTGCAACAGATTCTTAACGGGATACTAAATGCTTATGGCCGGTGCTAGACTGGGTATTATGTGGAGTTCAAGCTTCTGTACATAAGAAAGCAGAATGGGAAGCTTAGTTCAGATCACCTATTCCTGAAAGCACCTAAAACTCCAGAGATGTCTTCACAGATGTCCTAATATTTCTTCAGGCACCTAATCCTATAAAGCCATACAAGTTTATTAGGGCTATTATTAGGGAGAGGAATCTGTCTCCTTCCTGAGTTCTACCAGGAGCCAGAGTCAGAGACTTCTCTGCCTGAGTCTTCTCAGAGGTGTAACCCAGTAGATGTGCACAGGGAAATCCTAACAACTGAGTTCAATAAAAACACAGCCACCTTCTACATTAATGTGTGGTATTAATCGATTATCAGTATTCCATATTTAAATCATATTAAGAAACTGTTGTCTCAAGAAAGTCTCCAGTAACATATCATCCCTACACAATCAACTCAAAATCAAAAGCCGAAGTATGCCAAGACAGCTCCGCATTGTGCAGTGTACAGATCCCCTGCCACCTTTTCTAGGTAGGTCCCTCTCACTGGTGGAGGGACAAAAACAATGTGTTTTAACCTTTTCCAATTTGTGGATGCCTGAAAATTTTTCAGTGGAGATGAGAACATCTTCAGCTGTGTCACATATATTGGATTTGGATGCTACGTAGGCTGTAAAAAAGCCTTGTTTTTCTTAGTTTCATTAACTTCTTGCAATTACTCATAGGACTCCGAAAGGTCCGTGGATCACAAATCAAACACTACTGGCCTAGAACAAATCAAAAACTACTGGCCGTTTCACCGAGCCTTGTGAAACATACACTGGTTTCGTAAAGTTAATGGCTTGAAAATTAGCAAGTACAAGACTCAGTGCTGCATATGCAGCTTCAATTCTGTCCTCTTCTAGGTTCATTCTGTGAACGGAATGAAGCAGATTTGTACAGAAAGCCAGATAACAAAATCACAGGAGTATGCTATCTACACAAAATGGACTAGATTCTTAATAAGATTTAGGCTCTGGTATAGTTTTATTGCAACCAGGCTAGAAAGACCAAATTAATGTCATACTGGCAAAGAGAAATTCAACTGTTCCTAGTTTCCAAAAGCTTGGTGTTGCAATTTAACTTATTTTATTTTCATGCAGGTTCTCTGTATATAACTCCCTAGGCTTTTGTGAACAACAGTACATACATTGTATAAAATTCTGTCCTTACAAAGTAGGGAGGGGAGGGCTTTCATGGAAAAGAAAGTATTACTTACTAGACTGCTTTGTTCATGCAGTGTTTCTTCAGATTCAGACTCTGCATCAAGGCTTACGGTCTCATTGCACTCAGTGGGCATGTCTTCAGTCGCCTCTCCATTGGAAGGCAGACTTTCAACTATTTTTTCAGTCAAAGGGTTTTTGTTAATAAATATGTCTCCTTCCTGCCCATTACTGGCACTCTGAGTGGCCTGCCCATGTTCGTCATGTGAAGACTCATGCAAGATCTCAGCTTCTGCGAGGTCTGGTGCTGACTCGTGAGGCAATGCCTCATTGCTGGGCATTTCCATTACTTCAGGCTTTTCTTCAGATGGGATGCCATCACATATGTCTTCAGACATTTTCAATTCTGAATACAGAAAATAAATTAAGGCTTTTAGGTTCCATAAACATTTGAATGACTATAAAATACATAGCATTTACCATAAGCTATTGCTGCAGAACAACACAGCCTTGATGTAAGGCCTCCTGAAGCATGGAGCCCTGTGGCACATGCACCATGCTGGCACTGATTTCACGATGATACTCTGAATACTCTATTCACTTTGCAGGATAGCACTCAAGTACAAAGAGCAGCATCACTGTTTTCCAAAATACAGTCTGGTGAGGGAGAAAGAATGTTCATTTGTTTGGAGAAGTAAAATATAAGAGCTTCCACACGGTTAATTCCTATGTTCCCTATTATACGTGTATGAAAGACCACTGGAGAACAGGATAATCTGAGCTGCAATAGCCAAGCAGCTCTTGCTCTCCTTCTCATCATTTCCACATACATGGGTTGCTATAGCCTGCTGACTGATGGAGAGGAGGATGATAAGCACAGCGTGACTAAAACTGTGGTGATATTTATGTGTTGGAAGAGGGGCATAATTTAGGAACATGACAGACCATGGTCCCTGCAGCCATTTCATAGACAGGAAGCATTCACTGCTCACACCGTTTCTAAATCATGTGTCTCAAAGCCTTACTGTCTCGGGAATGCAAAACATCTCACCTGCTCCTAAAAGTCCAGATATCAGTTCTGGAATTAAGCTGTGTGATTAAACTTCAATTCTGAAGGCAAGGTAAGCTTGCATGAGGTAGAGTTATTGGTTTTTTTCTTGTTACAAACATGTTTTCTCTTATTTACTCCTTATCTTCCAATGCAACTTTCTTTTTCTAAGTATTTCCCACCACTGCAGTCATCAGGCTGAGGATCTAGGAAGGGAAAGAAATGGCCATTGAGCAAGCTCTGTGGCTGATTAAGGAGTGGCAGTGGCAGTCCAAAAGGACTACCCTACAGTGATTACTACCACTTACTTGTGGGCAACAACAGTATGCCCGGCACTCTACTCAGAAGACAACCCTTGACAGAGAGTTGTAATTGCAAACTCTTGACTATATGCAGAGTTGCATGGCATAAAATAAACTCACAGAGTCCTCTCTGTAGATGCTGTACTGTCTTTTCATTGACTCCAGTATTAATTAATTAAATATGGTTCAAAGCCTTGTACCAGTTAGGAAGTGTCAAGGTTCTACAAGAGACCGAAGAACAGAAAAAAAAAAAGGCAAAAAAGCAAAATGTAACTGGGATTTAGAAGAAGCTCGCCTAAGAAACATGTATTTAAATTAGTATATTTTATTAAAGTCTATAGAATCATGTACATTTGTGGCTTTAGCAGCCTGTTTATTTCACTTGAATGTAGATCAGCTGTGTGAACAGTTTCAAGAATAGCATTTGGGATCAGTGAACAAGAAACATAAATAAACAAATAAGCACTTGGTGCCACTCATATTACTTTAGCTTACACTACAACTTAATGATCTTCAGAAAACATGCATTTACCAGTCAGAATCTTTACATCTGCCACAAATATTTGCAGTTTTCCATTACGAATACAGCAAACACTATAAAATGCTTTACTGTAGGTAAATACTGCCATTGTTTTAACAGTACTCACTGTGTGATGGGCAGCATCACCTGAAGAAAATTTTTGTATTTGTAAACCAAATTCCACCATCAGATATGAGGATCCTCTACTAAAACCTGTAAAATCTGTACATATGTGCATCAGAATTTTTGCACGGGGATTAGATCTGAATAAGAAAATGCCCAACACCAGTACAATTTGTAAAGGATCATAGATGCGCACATGAATTTTTGCAGGACTGGGTCACCTTTGGGGACCCCTCGGGCCAAGGTCCCTGCATTGTCTCCTAAACTTTCATCATGGGAGCAAAGCCCGCAACAGCAAACTACCACATCTGTCAGAAACCACAAGCTGTGCGTGACCCTGGGGTAAGGCATCACTCAAACTGCCACCCGTGAGACTATACTGATCTAAATCAACTCGGACAACTCCGCCCAAAGGGAATTACTCCCTACAGGTAGCTCATGAGCGAGATGCCCAGGCCAGCTCCGGGCCGGGCGGCAGGCGAGCGCCCCGCCCGCAGCGACCAGCCGCCCTAAGGCG